GAACTAGAGGAATGTTGTGTGTCCCATCGGGTGCTGTGCTGCACCCTGGCTGACTCGCTCCTTCTTTGTGATCCTTCTGCGAGGGCATGTCCAATTGTCTACAGATGGGCTTTGTGTCTCCACTCAGGCCCCCCTAGTTTGCATTGGGTCTTCTGATTCCTGGAACCTGATTCTGTTGACACCTTGTGATCACACAGGTTGGTGTGCTTCCTTCCATGTGGGCTCTGTTGCTTCTCAGCTAGATGGCTGCTTGTTTATCTTCCAGCCTCTGAGACCCCAGACGCTGTATCTTTTAATTGCTGGGATCCATCAGTTTCCTTCACCACATTTGTTTATGCACCCAGTTTTGTCTTCAGCAATCATGTTGGGAAGGTGGGCATCGCAGTTTGCCAGGTTATTAGAAAAAAGTGTTCTTGCGTAGAGGGAGTACTTGAGTAGAGGCCCAGTGTCCGTCTGCTACATTAATACTTACCATATAAATATATGTACATAGACCTGCAGAGGATACTTGGTCTGTATATCGAATTGATCTGGTAGGTTTGTGACCGCTGTGCACCTCATTCTGGGGAGCAGCGCTCGGCCGCTGGTCTCACCTTCTTGTGTTTGCTGTCCAGTTCACCATGGAGGCGATGCAGGTGCTTCCCATGCACTTCACATGCATAGTGATGCGGTTTAGCACCTAATGCTATAAAATGTGACGTGTTCATTGCCTTTCCCCCTATTTTTCCCTCCATGTCACAGTTTCTCCTCTTTACTTTACACATCTAATACCCTCTTGTTCACCCCAACTCTAGCCCTTAAAAGCCTGGTTTGAGAAGCTATTTGGTAGGGGCCAAGCAGCGCCAGAAGAGTAGGAGCTAGAGGGGAAAGAGAAAGGATCTTCATTCATGGGCCCAGCTTTTTCCAGGTACTAGATACCTGACTTTGCATGACATTGACAGTTTTATATTTTTGCCCACTTGCCCTCAGGCTAAAGTGAGCTGAATGAGTTTAATATTAAATTTAACAATATGCATTTTACAAAGAACTTTGTTTGTTCAGTGCCATTTTTAGGTAGATATTATTACTACTGTTCTACAGATGAAGAAAATTGGGTTCAGAAATTTTGTGACCAACCTAGTATCACTCAGCTAGAGGTAGAACAGAGTCTGGAATCCATTTCCTTTTGATACAAGATTTGGTGCATTTAATAGTTATTAGATACGGGATTCGGTAACATCCTAGTCTCTTTCTAAGACACTTCTAACAAAAAGTTGTAGATTTTATGTTGTTCTAGTCCATTTCTATTCCCTTCATTCTTAAAAAAAGCACAAAAAACTCAAACCAAACGCACTACCATTGAGTCAGTTCTGACTCAGCAACCCTATCGAGAGCAGAGAGAAACTGGTTCTTTGGGTTTCTGAAGTGGAAAATTGTTTTGGGCACAGAAAGCCTCATCTTTCTCCTGTGGAGCAGCTAATGGGTTTGAACTGCTGGTCTTATGGTTAGTAGCTCAACACACAAGCACACTGTGCCACCAGGGCAGCTCATTCTTTTTTAAAAAAAATCAGAAACCTTTATTAAACATCCAAATGTGAATGAATCTATTATTTCTTAACATATCTAGATTTCTTCATCAGTTTTATTGGCATATAGTTTACTCATTCTTCAAAGAGGAGTACAAACGAGTATTACTCTATACATTTTAGACATTATTTTGGGTAACCGCCCTGGCATCATAGGAAGAGCCCTGGACTGGGCACTGGGAGGCTGTGTGCTTGTCTATTCTGCTTCTGTAAGTTGAGGTAAATAATTTTCCTTCCATTTTTGTGTGTACAAAATGAAGTGTAAGGTCTTAGTCAATAGTAGCATTATGTGGTTTATGATAGTAGTAAAGTTTAGCAAAGTATATGAACATGTTATTTTTCTGAATAACTCTCACACTCCTGTTCTTGTGTGTGTGTGGGCATGCATGTTCAAACACACTTCTGTATTTCAGTCAGCTTTAAGGTCTTGAGATATCAAATTTGTTTATTTTACATCATACTTTCTTTGTTTTTTAGGACTTTATATTTCTGCCTGTAGGTCTTAGTAATGCTTTCTATTATCTTTTACAATAACACTTAATAGCTGATTT